AAAATCAAAGTTAATAAAGCTGCTATATATTTTTTCTAAATAGGCACAGCTGACAGATTAAATCTACTATATATTTCAGAAWGCATGTTTTAGATTATTGCTGCACAACACTGTTTACATTCAAAGATACAGCTTCCTAAAAAAATAACAATCTGAAATCTCTGTTTGTGTTCACATTGTGTATAAATAGAACCTATATTTACCACACCATCTACAAACATAGCCAGAGGCCTTAACCAAGATTTCCTTTTTTTTAAACCACTTCCCTGGCTTTCCCCTTCTCCTGGTGACGACATTGTTTTGGAATTCACTTCTTGTGCTGGTGGTGCGCTCAGAGAGAAATAGGCTGACTTTGTTGTTCTGATCTCTTTGTGCTCTGCAGCTTGTAACCACAACCATTTTGTGTCTCCTTTCTTTATCCTCTGTACGTGCATGTGTTTTACTGCACTTTTTTTTGTTTTTGTTTTGTTTTTTCCTCTCCTTTTGCAGTTACTGTATTAATATTAGTCGTGTTGATTATTAAGCTCGTGGTTAAATAGATAGGTAATTGTGCTAAAATGTTTTTACTTATTGTATCGTCATGCATGTCTGCACTTTACAGATACTGAATTCAAGCCTTTTTAAGCTGCATTTATTCATACTTGCAGTTGATGGCAACTGTTTAAAATATGCTGATTATGCATGGATCCAGTGGCTGTATGCAAGACAGATGAGAGGGCATGCTGCTGAATGCTTTGGAAGCCTGAGCAGGAAAAGTCTCCCCTTCCTCTCTAAACCGGCCCGTAGATTGATGGGGGAGGTGTTGCTTCTGCTCACTCATCCATCACACACTTTATTTGGGTTTTAGAGGAAAGGAAAAAGGCTAAATAAAAGAAGAAAAAAAAAGACTTCCAAAAATATCAGGTGGGGGCTGGGATGGTGAGGGTCGAGGAGTTGAGTAAGGGGAGGCCCCTTGTCCTGCGCTGCTCCCCCTGCTCTTTAGGCAAATGCTGGAAAAGAAGTCTTACCCTTTTGACCCCCGGCCATTCTCCGGTCCGAGCGCTGATAACAAAAGACAGATAAAGCCGAGCCGGGGGAGTGGGGTAGATTTAGTAAAGATTAGCGAGCAGGTTTGTGATTTGAACGGAGGTTTCTGTGCGTGCGCATGGGTCGCCATCTAAATGGGGTTTGGCAGTTGTTGGTGGTCCATGCCCACCATCCTGGCTTGTTAGGGTTCACTTTATAGGAGAAAGAGCATTCCACATTTGACAAAAAGACACAGAATGTTTATTGTACCTTMAAAGAATTGAGCTACGACATGTAGCAACTCAGCTCAGCGAAGCTGCATTATTTACAACGTGCCATAAACTGAGGAAATCCAGGATTTCCTTTAGTGTTTCTGTATTATAGTTAAAATAATCAGATGTTTTTGATCCAAAGGAAAGATGGTGTTCCTAACAAATCCTGCACAGATCCATTACTCGTTTACAAGTAAATCCCTTAAACCAGTAAGTTCTACTTTGAAAACTACCGACACCTGATCAGCTCAAAGAACCCAAAACGTCTGGCTGAAAACAAGTTGCAGATGATTGAAGTTAATTTTTTTTCTTATAGATTATTGTTGTGAATTTAATGTTTTGTTTGGTTTATTTTGAACATGCTAACTACAGACAACATGTGAAATAAAATGCAAACATTGCAGTAATGACTGACTGCTGTCCTGAAGGTTGCAGCTGACAGTTRTTTTCTGCTGCTGCAGCTTCAGTCCTGACAGAAAGCTCAGATTGGTTTCAACATGAAGTTAGGCCTAAACCTCCCCAGCTGCAGCCAAACAGCTACATTTTGGCTGTTCCTGGGTTTTATAAAAGCATCGCATAGCTGACATCATGTCTGGGTCTGCAACCCACAACACAAAGAGGAGAGATTGCCCATCATTGGCTGGATTTCCACTGCTGTTATTGGTTTGCATTTGGAAGATGAGATAAAAAAAAGGTAAATGAAAACAATGAAATCATTTTCACTGCTGCATTTTAAATGCATCTGATTTGACTCCCAAATTGTTTCCAGTCAGCACTCTGTAACCTAATGTCTCAGATWAAAAAGTCTGAAGAACGTTTTATTTAGGTGAATATTTAGGAGATGAAAAGTAGAGCATTGTAGCTTATATAAGCTAACATTTAAAGTTCCACACTTTTAAAAAAAGCTTATTAGGTTTTATTTACTAAAATTTTGTAAATCTTTCCAAGTGAACTAGTAAGTTTTTTTTATAATCAAAGCCTGTATATGTTTAACATTATTTCTCTTCCCATCATTGATGGTTTGAACAAAAATCTATTCACTCATAAATTACCAGATTAAATCTCAGTAAAAATAAAATGTTTTATGTTTTATACTGGCATAAATCAAGTTAAATTCCAGAGTTTTGTGATGTAAAAATATAAAAAACTTTAAATTGCCCGGGGAAGAAAAAGCAACCTGCTTCACTTACCGTCGCAGGAATTTGTGTTTATTTCCTCTAAGAAGCTTTTTCCAACTGCAGACCTCACAGTGAAACTCCCAAAGGTCTTATTTGAATCACAAATGTCTCTCATTTCCCCGCTTGTTCACAGGTTTTGGTCAGTCGAGGAATTCTGGGACCCATTAAACCCAGATGACAATGACTTTCACAGCCCAGGGCCGCTGCAGGGGTCCGCCCCCCTACTGACCCCTCTCCATTGCCGCACAGCCCCTAGTTTCAACAGTCCGGCTTCAAAATTCTAATTTGTTTCAAGAAAGCACCCAAACAAGAAAAACTCAAGGGTTAATATCTCCCCTCTCTCTCTCTCTCTCTCCCTCTCTCTCATTTGCTGATTTCCTCCTGAACGGCCCTGTTCTGGCTCAAGTTGGGGCTTACCGCAGACAATCCACTTCTGCCATGTGCTCAAATCATTTTGACACCCATTTAGCATGCTCATCAGAGAAGAGTTATGAATATTCAGGATGTTTCCAGGGGTCAGAGAGAGGCAGAGGGGAAGAGATGAGAGTGACACATAATAGGGACAACTGTGGACGTAAACAGAAAGATTAGATGTTAGCGAGTGAAGAGGAGCTCCTGACCGTCAAAATAAAGGCCCACATCCAAGCTGAGCGGCTCGGTCAGTCGGAGAATATGACTCTGCTCCAAGCTCCTGACTTGTCGCTTTTTTTAAGGTTGTAGTTGAAGACAGGAAGGGCGATCAAGGACTGTTTCTTGAGTTCCACATTTCTGCTGGTGTCTCCTCTGAGTTTCACTGAGATGAACGAGGGTCAGCTTGTGGCCACCGGAGACGACTTCTGACGGCTTCTCAAATAAACAGCTCAATTTGCCGGGCTGTGTTTATTTTGAACTCAAATTGTTTGATCATTTTCGGTGCAGAAGTCACGAGCCTCGTTCTATTTTAAAGTTGGTTCACAGTTGGGATCAAAATGTCAAATACCAGAGGATGGACAAAGCAACATATATGGCAAAAGTAGCATTAAACTGTAAAAATAGACATTAATATATTCCTTTTAAGAGGACCAGTTTTTTGGAAAGCCAAATTTGATAATTTTTAGGGCTGTGAAATTAATCGAGTTAACTCATATTGATTAATTTTAGTGCTGGGCACTAGATTAAAAATTTTAAGCCCGATTAATTGTGATTAATCTAACCTTTTTTTTTTTTTACGAACAATTGCTTTACTATGGCTGAATATGTAGTTTGTATATTGCAATGAACTCCATGTCAGTGCATGCCAGGTCATGTTGGTAAATGAGAAGTGGTTCTCAAACAGTTTACCTGGATAAATAAAGGTTAAATAAATAAAATAAATAAAAAACCTCTATGTGTAACACATTATGTACATTTTTCGTCTTCTTATGGCTTGTTTTATTTTATTTATTTACGTTTTGCTGACAACTGTGACCTTAGTATCTATCTTTCATTCCTCATGTAGTACTCATTTGGAAAGAAAATCTTTGAATTTTTGATTTAACCTCATTATTCTGCACAAAATTTAACTGACTCAAGTATGTTTGGAGCATTTTTAGGTCCTGTTTTATATTCAAAAAATCATG